TTAAAAATCACTATATTAGAAGTGCCATATTGAGAATATGGAATAGATATAAACCCAGATTGTGCCCAAAAATGCCTTTATGGGTCTCAGCACAAGAAGCATTTTATAGAAAAGAAACAGTAGGCAAAGAGAGATGGTAAATATAGAGAGAATTGTTAGAAGAAGAGCACAGAGAATATAAGATGAAATCAAGAGATTGACTGCAGAGGGATTTAGCTTTCAATTGTTTTCAGATCCAGAGTTAAGAGAAAGTTTTAAGGTAGATAACAGGACATTTGGAACTGAACAGCACAAGACAGAATTTGAAATTGAACTATGTACAAATGATGAACATGTAATTGCTAAAATGTATAAACTTTTGCTGAAATTTGAAATGGAAGAACAAATGAAAGAGTGCATTATAAAACGGGCTAAGAAACCTGGGACATAATATATTGATGGAATAATGGGAAAGTATGTGGCTGAAAGGAGTGAAATGTACATCATGTTATAACTTAAAAGAGAATTTTTAGAAAATGATATACCGTTGGTACATGACTCCAGAAAAATTATCTAGAACATATAAAGGTGCTTCAAATCTATGCTGGAAATGTGGAAAACATGAAGGCTCATTTTGTCATGCCTGGTGGACTTGTAAAAAAGCCAGAAAATTTTGGGTTCAATACACATAGTAATACTAAGAATTTTAAAGATTAATATTCAATTGAAACCAGAACTTTTCTTGCCAGGACTAATGGATAGACCATTAGAAAATGGAATATTGTTTTTATATATAACTGCTGCAAGATTATTATATGCACAAGAATGGAAAGACTCTGAAATACCCACAATGGAGGAATGGCTGATGAAGATGACAGAATTAGCAGGGATGGTAAAATTGACTTGTCTGATTAGAGAAAGGACAATAACCACTTATTAGTGACTGGAAACCTCATATGGAGTTTTTGCTGAAAAAAGGGAAAAAATTAACTTGTGATTTATGGGCTTGATGATTAGAAAGGGTAGACTATGGAAAGAAGGAAATTATGTTGTAACCTTAGAGAGGATAAAATAGAAATGTATTTATAACTGCTGTTAAGATCAGAAGCTACTTCTTTATAACTTTTCTTTCTTACTCTATTTTTTTTTTACTTATTACTTTTCTTTACTTTTTCTGCTTTTTTTGTTCAAAATTTGTATTGTTTTTATTCTCTTAAAAATTCTTTAATAGAGTATGTGTGTGTGTAATCCTAACATTTTTTATATACAGTAAACCCCTGGTTTAGCAAGCCTGCTCATCAAGTTTCAAAATTAATGGAGAAAATCTGTCTCTACAGTATATGCTTCTACACATGCATAAAATCCTGTTTGCAATTTTATGCTTGCACATAAATTATGTAATAATCACCTCCATTAATGCTATACTGAAAATGTATATATTCATTTATTACAAATATTGGCTTACCATGCACAATATTTGCTTTTGTGTCCATTCTGCAAAGTCTGCTTGCTTCAAGGAAGTCAGAGACACGAATATAAGGGTGGGATGCAGTTATATTATTTGAAGCAAGCATCTGAGAATAGAAAATAAACTGTTTAATTGTTCATTCCCAAATAAAATCTACATTTTTTCACCAAAAGTTGCTATAATTACTGCAGTAATAATTATAGATCATTGCTGCAGGATAGAGGTACATAACATCCCAAGCTTAATGTGGCTGTTTTTGCTCAGAATAAAATACAGTGGTACCTCGGGATACGAAGTTAATGCGTTCCATGACTCTGGGCGTATCCCAAGCTGGTCGTAACCCAATGCAAATTTCCCCATAGTGTTCAATGTAAATCTGGTTAATCCGTTCCGCCCTCTGAATTTGGTCGCACCCCGAAGCAAATTTGCCCATAAGGTTCAATGTAATTACCGTTAATCTTTTCTGGCGTCCACGGACCACGCGTCAGGAGTGGGAGAATGGCCGAGCGCGGCGTGGCGGGAAAAAGGCTGGGCGCGGCGTGGCGGGAGAATGGCCGGGCACCACGCAGCAGGAGAATGGCCGGGCACCA